ATTGTAGACAAATAAATGTCTTGTATAATTATTCTATTTTTGGAATCTTGCAGTGCAATAAGTAGGTTAAGCTTTTCAATGCTAATAGCTAACACAACCTCCATCATAAAGCTTCCTTCATCTGAAGTCATCAGATGATGAAATTTACTGTCCCTGTTTAGTGAGGAGGAGAGGAAGCCACTTGCTATAAAATATCTGAGATGAACTTGTTTCTTTTTACTCATAAAGTGTAGCTCTTGCACAGATGGTCGAGAAGGTGCAGAATATTATAGTCCTCCTGTGTTTAACTGTTTCTGTATGCCCTGGAATTTTAAGAGAATTTAGGATGTGTTTGGCAGTAGCTTTCCCTCTATAATCAGGTTGCTATGGTAAACCCATTATTCTAGACAAAGAAAGAGTATGTTTAGTAAAGTGCTGATCCCTTTTCAGTATAATGTGAGCTTCAAATTACTTTTGAACGATTGAATTTGTATGGTAAGTATTTTGTCACAATAACTAAGAGGAGAAGGCCACAGAATAAGGTGTGGCTTCTGTTATTTCAGTAGCAGATACATCTAACAAAGTAGTAGTATGGCTGAAGCAAACTTAACCTGCAAATATCTACTCCTAGTTTTCCCAGGGAAGCAACCTGAAATTTATTGTTACCGAATGCTATTAATTTTTGTGTTTATCTATATGGTGATAAACTGAGCCTTTGAAGTTTACGTTTGCTACATCCTATACAGTTAGTTGTTCAGAAGCAAAAGGACTTTAATTCTCCGTTAAATTATCTCCACAGAGTGTGCCCACCTTACATAACCCAACCAAAATCTCAGTACTTTTGGAGGTAAAGTATACTTTTTAAATGAGTACAAAGTTGCAATTATTTAGTGCCACCACTAAATTCACTTCTCATATTCCTAGTGCTTATTTGGTCACATTTGTAAAAGAAAAGGAATGATGAACTAATAATTTGAGTATCAGTATCAGCAGCAGTGTACTAAACTACTGTAACTTTGAATAATTAAAACTAAAGAAATAGCTGAGAGAATTCCTTTTCCAGAGCACTTACTGACTGAGGTTTCTCTCCATTTTCAAGACACTTTCAGTTCTGCTGAGGTCCGCAGTCAGATGATCTAACTCATACCCTGAGCTTAGGTGGGAGCCAGCCAAAATAAAATACAAGGCACAGATATCAACAAGGAATTTGGGCTTTTTGAATATATGTATTAGTGTTCTATTCATTAGCTAAGATGAGAAGATTGAGAAAGTAGGGCCTAAATCCCCTTTGTGCTCAATTTTGAGAAGACAGCCTGAGCTTGTATCTCTTACATGACAAAAATGTGCCCTATCTGCCTAGGGATGTGATATTCCTCATTTTTTTTGCTGGTGAAACTATTGCACATTAACTAAAATGAATAAATATTAATTGCAGCAGGGACTGAGAGGAACCTGTTCCCATTCCAGTGCAAGTGCCCAGCCACTCGGCGCTCAGGTCATTCTGACTTATTAAATTAAGCATTATAGCAGGTAAAGCTTGATTGCAGAACATGCAGGAGTCTCATTACAGAACCTTCCTTCGCTCATCCCTCTGGAGGATTTTCCGTCTCTGCTGACTCCTCTCTTCAAAGCAACTTGCTTAAACTGATTTTATTGTCCTTCAGGCATCCTCCTTATTATAGCATTAGTTGGCCAGGATACCACTGTTAAAAATGGTTCTTTTGTTTATTTCATAGAGTCTTCACAACGCATGGGTCCTGTTCATCAGGTACCTGTCTGTCTACAGGTGACTGACTGTGCTTTGGGACACTGCAATGTGACATTTTTGTAGAAGTAGCCAGGTTGTCTAAAGTGGATGCATGGAAAGAGACTGCGAGAGCGCCAAATAACAAGTTGGACTCATTAAAAGTCTCTGTATATTTAAGTACTAAGAAATGATTTTGTTCCAGTTGCTAATGTAACTGTCCTTGGCAAATAACTGTAGCTTAGAGAATGCAGGCAAATAACATCAATCATTCTGTGGACAATCATATCTTAAATGTTGATGTAATTACCAAATACAACTGTATTTCGTGATGTGGTAGATGCGCTTCCTATAATAAGTTTCTCTCTGGGATGAATATCCTCATATAATTGCCAATGCAACATAGTTTTAAAATTATGTATATTATAAAGGTATCATGAAGCATTTGCTGTTAATTCTTTCTATAAGCATGTCTTTTTAAAGATTCTTGCACTTTAAGTTGGTCATAAAATGTCCTAGATTGAATCCTGACACACAGAATGTCAGCTCGAAAGTGCAATGTACATTGATGGTGGGGAAGATGCACCAATAAAGCAGCTATAAAATGAGCTGGCAATTTTTCCATAAGTAATAAGATACCCACTCTACTCCAGCTTAGTTAGACTGTTTTTTTCTGAAAAATCAAATGTAAAAAATTTGGTTTAGAAGTTGAAAGAAAAATAGATTAACAATGATCTGGCAGTATGTTGACCTAAAAGGTTTTATTGTCACAAAATCTACAGTTAGAAAAGCCCCACTAAGGTTCTCCTTAACAGGCCTTTCCCACTCAGCAAAATATTTCAGCAAATGTTGAGAAAATATTGTGCATGCTGAACTGTTTGGTGACATAATGAAAAACTGCACTTGGAGGGTTTTTTTGCTTTGTTGCTATAGTTGCTCCTACTGTAAATTTGGGTTCTGCAGTCAATAGAGAAGTGTCCAGGCCCAGGTTGAGTCTCACTGCTGCTATGATGAAATTAGATCGTGAGGAACAGGCTTTTCTGCATCCATGTCTCTGGTGGCCCTTTTTTACACGATATCTTTTCCCAAGCCCGTGAAAAGTATTACTTTGATCCATGGTTTGTGTCATATTTAGAGCATTCTCACAGTAGCATTGCATTAAAACGATTTAAAAAATACGGAGGCAAACTCTTAGAAGTTAGGAAATAACAAAATCAATGTTACCTTGAACTGAGTCTGTTTTATATATGTGCAACGTAAGACTGTCCTTGACTGTAGTTTTTTTCACATCTGACCATTTATTATTCACTGCTCTGAGGGCTTTAGAGTGGAAGATCTATGGGAGTTTGGCTGAGTCTATTCCCCCTTTAAGCACTGGGGAGTTCTCCTGTGAACAGGTTGATGGAAGGGAAGACAGAAGTTGTGCTTTTGACTTCTGTTTCCTCAGGTCTAGACAAGAAAAATTATAGGGATTTTTGCTTTCCAAATGCCTGACAAAGTATTTGAAGAGTTATGTTTCTACATGAATAGAGAGTATCTTAGATAGCCCTGTGCATAGACTGTTTAATTCTAATCACATTCATTTTGGAGTTTCTGAGGTATGTGCTAAATATTTTAGATCATTCATAGAGGTTAATTATACAGTTAAACATGTGCCATAGCTCTGTTCTGCCAAGTTGAGATGTGAAAAATATACAATGCCGATGATTGCTTAATGTTGCTGTTTCCACCAAGACATAACAGTGATATACTTTGCTTCTGGTTGCCATGGAGGAGGGACAGTTTGTTTTTTTTGTTTGTTTGGTTTTTTTTTAATAGTGTTTATGTGCATACTTTGATTAATACAGAGTGACTTGTAGTTTGTCTTTGGTGGGTAGGGTGTAGAATAAGTTTGTTTTTTTATTTCCTTTATTTTACTTCACTGAAATCATGACTCTAACAATTTTTTATTCTTACAGGGAGATGTGAATGTGGCCAATGCACTTGTTTCCCTCCAGGAGACAACAGAATTCATGGCAAAAACTGTGAATGTGATGATCGACAGTGTGAAAATGTGGACGGCAATGTCTGTGGGGGTATGCATTCATTTGATATAATATAATTAATATAAGTCTTGACAGTTTATAACTTTCTGTTCCCCCTGGTTTTATAATGTAATGTCACTATAGACTATTGACATCACTGATTAATTATAATAGATTATAAATTTTTGTAAGAAACAAGCTATATAAATATTGGATATGTTTGTGAATATTTATTTTAAAACTTCAGAAACACTAACAATGAAGTAGATTAAATACACCTAATAGCATAAATGTAAGAAGTGTAGTATATCCCAAATTCCATCAGTGTTCATTAGAGAAGAATACAGACACTTAAAGGAAAACCTGAAAAATTAGGTAATTTTACTTTGTGTTTAGTACAGTTGATGTTTTACTGAGAATGTTGTATTTTACCTAAAGTTAATAATGGCCAGCATTACTTCTGAATATTTCATATTCACTGACAGTGATATGTCTGTTTTCTAAAAAAGTAATAAAAATATATTATGAAAAATATATTATCAAAGAATCTAAAATGCTTGACATACATTGTCATAGTAATTGTACAGGCAGATGGTATATTTTAATGTTGACAGTGAAAACCTCCCTTGTTGATTTTTCAGTAATGTATGTTGGTGTTAAGCAATATTTCAAGTTAGTTTTAGATATGTAAATGCATACATAGCATATGGTATTTTAAAAACAGGTGAGTAGTATTTGTCCTAAATGCTCTCTTTCTGGATTTAATTTCCTTTATTTTTAAAATTACTCTTTGATTCTTAACATTAACAAAGTAGTTGGTATGAAGAATGACATGCTTTATTATATTCATTATTTCTATGTAAGAAAAAACATATTGCTTCATAATCTTTGGGTACATAAAAAATTCTAACTACAGGAAATATTTCATCAAGGTCTCTGCCATACAGAATGTAGGCATACATGGAAAATTCTAGTTTGAATGTCTAACCAGCCATAATAATAGTTTATAATATTCAGTGTAGTTCAATAATATGAATGTGTAGATAAAGAATAATTTGAAATTTAATTTTGTTTAAAGGACATGAAAGCAGATAAAAGCACTGAAAAGCTGGGTCATATTTGTTATAAATTAAGTAGCTGGGAACCAAAATTCATCATCTTTCATGATTAAAAATATCTCTTCTGTTTATGTCATTCATATTTTACGTTATTCGATGACAATGCTTCAATGTTAATATTGCTAATTACATTGCACATTTTGGAAATTATAGAAAAAAATTCCATTTTTCCTTATTAGGAAGGATACAGTGATAATTTTAATTTTTGTTGCTGGCTAGAGCACCTTACACTTAAATGAATAATCACCTCAACACTTGAGCCAGTGTCCAATTTTTTACTGTGCAGGAGACACTCTAGGTCACACTTTCACCTGAATAAACTCTCCCCTTTAGTCTAAATAGCTTTGTCCAAAGAGAATGGCAGACATTAATTAACTAATTTTAAAACCATACGCTTTAAGCTTATTTTCCAAATTTGAAACAACAAATAGAATGGAAAGCCAGCTCATGAACTTATGAATCCGTAGTAGTCTCAAGCAAGCTCAACTTCTCCACTTTCATTCAAGCTAATAGTTTAGTTACTAATGGTTCCCTGCAGGTGAAAGGACTTATATGGGAAAATGCAATTCAAGTGCCCTGTTTGAAATTGCACTGCACAGCATCTGTTGACAGGACTTCAGAAGGCCCACCCTCTGATTTTTGCTGTTCCAGGGAGCTGATTATTCCCATTCCTAATACTTTCCCCAAAATCATAGAATAAGCACCAAATCAGGAATCCTGTTGTCCTGGGCTTTCTTGTAAGTAAAAGGAGAGGAGGAAGCATGGCAAAAAGTGATGATTAAATCCACCAAGATCTGAGCTGACCTCTGAAGTGCCTCAAGGGAGACTAGAGCATCTTTGCTCACTCACAGCTGTCTGAACTTGGTGAGGTGAAGCTGGTCTCTAGAGTTTTCGTCTTCCCAATCAGAAGTCATGCCACTACTAATACCATCCTCTAAAAATTATTGGTTTTCTGTAGTAGGTCTGTTGGGATTCCAGTGGTAAAAAAATGGCAGATTACTTTTTCATATTCTTGATAATTTATTTGCTGTTCTGTCTATTGTATTTCTAAATATAATTTTAGACATTTTCAGATTATTCTAGATTTGGTTGTAATTTACTCCTTGAAGCATGTTCCTATATTATTATTATTATTATTATTATTGCATTATTCCATCCACTTTTTTCTTTTATAGCCAAGAACTGTTTTCCCCTTCCTCTCTTTCTGCTCTCATGCCACAAAAGTGTTTGGTTGTTTGCACTTCTCTGATTCTTCCATGTGAAGTGTGCTGAGATTCAAATTAACAAACACAAATGTCTTACTAATCACTCAGGTCTCTTCCATACACCACTTTTCCTTCTCTTGGCTGCTGGAGCTCTGGACTGGCTCCTTCCCTCATTTCCGCTCTCTCTCCCTCTCTTTCCTTCCTTTATTTTTTTTCCTTCTGTTTTTTCTTCTTTTTTTACTGCTGGCAGATCCTGAAACCTTATTTTCTTTGACCATCCAGTGTCCAACTGTGCTTCTGATCCACCTGCCTGAAGATGTCACCCCCCCACACCCCGATAACTTAAGGCAGCACCTATTTAGGTGTAAGTACTAAGTAGAGGAATGTTTATCTTCAGAGAGTCCTCATGAGTTGCAGCTTTCTGTTTGCTCACCATTTAGCAAGTGAATTCCCCTCAGCTTCCCTCACCTTCAAACTCATAATATCAGCCATTTACCCCTTATGCGTTTTCTGTGACTTCATCTTTCACTGTGGCTTCCACCAACATTTTCATTGAAATGTCTCTTCCTACAGTTTCTGACCCAATGTAGGAATTTCTGTCATTGTTATCCTTTTCAGATCCTCAATAGCCTCTGATTTTACTGATAGCTTCAGTCCTACTTTTTAGTAGTTGTCTGATGTTTTGCTTGGCTATCACTTTCTATCCTGATAACATTTTTGAATGTTTCCTTTGATATACGGTAATTCTTATATCTCCCTTTTTAGGAGATTCTACCAATTTTAACCTTATTTTCTTTCCTCTTTTGCAACTTATCTATTCAAAAAACTTCTCTCATTAATTTTGCAGTAGTGGCACACCCATCTCTTCCTTTTAAGTTTGTCCGTGCTTCCATCTCAGCCTGAACCTCTTGACACCTCTTGCTGAACTGCTTATTCCTTCCTCTTTCCTTCTCCTCTTTTCAGTACTACTTTTCTACCACTGTTGGTACCTAGGCAATCACTGTCAGGACATAAGCCCTTGCTAGTAACTCTGGCTTCAGAGAACTGTAAGCTGGACTCTGTGAATGTGCAGGGCCTGACAGTGAGCACTGAGTGCCTGTAAAGCACAAGGAAGGAAGACGAGTGTTTTCAGGTTCAGTGCTTGCTGAAATGAGAAATGTGAATGACAACCTAAATGGTTTGAATAAGAATTGTTACTGGCCTCCTCTGACCAGCAGAGATTGATTAATAGCTTGCTTTCCAGAACAGCTGTCCATGCAATGGTAGAAAGACATGAGGCGAAAGATATACTAAATTAGGGTACAACTGAGTGAGACCCTATTACCATGTTTCTCCATGATCGTAGTGAGTCATTCACTTAAAAATTCAGCTGTCCATCATTGCAATACCAGGAATAGGGACATTACATCTCCACAAAGACAGAGGTTGAAGGAGGACTTGGCATAGATTCCACAGCACTCTGCTATGGATTCATAGAATCATAGAACCATAGAATCATAGGTTTGGGTTGGAAGAGACTTTTAAAGATCATCTAGTCCCACCCTCCTGCCATGGGCAGGGACATCTTTCACTACATCAGGTTGCTCAAAGCCCCGTTCAACCAGACCTTGAACATTTTCAATGATGGGGCCTCCACAACTTCTCTGAACAACCTGTTGCAGTGTCTCAACACCCTCATAATACACAATATTTCCCTAATGTCCCATCTAAACTTACCCTGTTTCAGTTTAAAACCATTGCCCCTTGTCCTGTCACTACAGGCCTTGGAAAAAAGTCTTTCTCCATCTTTCTTATAAGCCCCCTTTAAGTATTGAAAGATAGCAATAAGGTGTCCCTGGAGCCTTCTCTTCTCCAGGCTGAACAACTCCAACTCTCTCAGCCTTTCTTCACAGGAGAGGTGTTCCAGCCCTCTGATCATTTTTGTGGCCCTTCTCTGGGCCTGCTCCAACAGGTCCATGTCTTTCCTGTACTGGGGACCCCAGAACTGGATGCAGTACTCTAGGCTGGGTCTCAAAAGAGCAGAGTAGAGGGGGAGAACCACCCCCCTTGACCTGCTTGCCAGCTCCTTCCTTCGTCTTCCCCTTCCTTTGTCTGTGTCTCTGCACAGAGACTTAATATGCTATGGCTGGAGGAGGTGTCTCATGCAGCCTTTTTGAGACTGCTATGTTCCACCTAAAGGCCCATTCCCTACAGCTCAGTTTTTTTCAATGATGTATGATTTGCCCAGGTGTATTGTAGTGTTGATCCACAGCAGCATTTAACATCATGGGTTTTCTTGCTTTACTTGGTTCTTTGAGTCTTTCATGTGCAAGGTAAGTTTTTTTGGTGCACACACATGAATAGAGAATCACAGGTTTGCCAGCACAAGTTCTTTCTTGGCATGGTTATGTCACTGATGTACCCCAGACTTGATATTCACTTATCTTGTATCCTGGAGAGATACTTCTCTCTATCCTCTGAGGTTAGGGCCGTGCTGCTAGCTGCAGATGTGTCCTGAGCTTTCAAGTGTTATTTGTTCCTCTACTGTGTCCAGTCGTGTCTTTCAGTTGATGTCGTTGTTGGCTGCTCCACCTCACTGGGTTGACTGTTGTCCATTATGTTCTGTTCTCTTTCAGAATTGAGAGCAGGCAGGCAACAAGAATTCAGGACAACAGTAAAGATCAATTTGAAATTGATTCAATAATGCTCTTAACTCCATTCATTTTGATTTGTTCTCTGAACCATTACT